CCTTGGTTGCAGGCACATACCCAGTAGGGAGTGTGCAGGAGGCAGCTGATCGATATTTCTCTCTTATTGATGTTTCTAACTCTCTATCCCTCTCCCTTCCTCTCTGTAAAAAAAATCAATAAAATAAAAAAATCACAAAAAGATTGAAGCCTTGAAACTAAATGTTAAAAAAATGTTGATTCATTCTTATTGAGGACCTGCATGATGCCAGATGCTATACTTTATATAAAATTATTTTCTTTAATTCATGTAACTACCTTTTGAGGTAGGTATTTTTGTCTAATTTTACAAATAAAGAAACTAAGGCAGACTGAGATTAATATAATTTGCCCAAGACTCCCACAGATGGGCCTTAAACTGAGGTTTATTGGATTCTAAAACTCATTCTGTTTCAACACTTTGTGACTTCACTTTAATTTTGTTTTGTTTTTTATTTCTTAATTTTAAATTTAGAAATAATTTAACTTATTAAATGTTGCAGAAACAGCAAAGAATCCCAATACACTCTTTATCCAGCTTCACCAAACCATGCATAATTTTTAAAACCATGGAAATAACATTGATACAATGTTAACCAATATACGGACCGTATGCAGACTTTTGCCATCGTCCACTAATATTGTTTCTCCAGAATAAGACCCAATCCAGGATCCCACATTGCATTTAGTTTTCCTGTCTTAGTCTCTTCTGACGTGGGAGAGTTCGTTAGCTTTCAAACCATGGTGCCTGTGAAGAGTACTGGCCAAGTAATTTTGGAGACTTTGGTTGTATCTTTTCTTTTTTTTAAAAAAAATATGTTTTTATTGATTTTTTACAGAAAAGAAGAGAGAGGGATAGAGAGTTAGAAACATCGATGAGAGAGAAACATCCATCAGCTGCCTCTTGTACACCCCCCTACTGGGGATATGCCCGCAACCGAGGTACATGCCCTTGACTGGAATCGAACCCAGGACCTTTCAGTCTGCAGGCCGCCGATGCTCTATCCACTGAGCCATACCGGTTTCGGCTCGGTTGTATCTTTAATGCATTGGAGTTATAAATGCATTTAATGTAGAGTTAAGAGGATTTTCCTTTGTGTCCCAATTATAAACTATTCCATTGAAACAACTTCTTTATGTCATTCCCAATTATTAGGACATTTTCGAATGGATGAGGGTGATGTGACGGTGGTTGGCCTTTGTGTAGCAAGATAACTTTCTAGCCTGAGAGCCTTTCAGGGTCATCTGGTGGTCTCCCACCCTGGCTTCTCAGATGGCAGCATCGTGGTCTGCATGTCTTAGCTCCTGGCCCTTTGTTCTTTCTACTTCATCATCCTACTGGCCTGAAAGGCCAATGAACAGTCATTTAAAATATCTATTCACTTCACCTCTGTTAGTTTTTTTATCATTGAAATTTTGATTAATCAATGACCCCATTGATATTGGTATAAAATTAACTTTGCTTTTCCTTTAAGGTAGACCATTGCCTATAGCTTGTAAAGGGGATTTGGCCTAGGCCAGATTGGTTTCTTTGTGTAGCTATACACCAAATCTCTTTTCAGCAGCCTAGGTAGCAAGGATTCCCTTATTGCTTAACAGGGATGTTCATATACCAGATTTCTTTTAGTTGTCTTTGCTAAAAGAAAGCTCAGCTGCTTCCTGTGCTCTCTTGGATCATGCCATTTGGAAGTTGGTAAACAATGACTGCTTTTGAGGTCATTGACTTTTTTGGGAGGAGGAGTGGGGTGAGGAGTATATTGATTTCTGAGCTTTTATTAAAGTTGATATTTTACTAACTCCTTACTATCTTAAGGGTAGGCTTTATGAAAAAAAATATATATATATGTAATATGCAAATTAGCCAGGATGCCGTAACAGTCATGTCTGGCTCAGGAGGAGGCTGTGTGCACAGATGGGCCCAGAGTGGAGATGCCACACACAGGGGGCCCGCCCGCAGCACGGCAGCCACTGAGACAGGGGACAGGCCTGGAGGGGAGACATAACACATGGGGTGTGGGGCCGCCCTCACTGGGAGACAGCATGCCAATAGTCCCGCCTCTGCACGTGAGCTGCAAAGGAAACACCTTTTCTCTTCGCTCATTGGCTAAGCTCCCCACTCACAGTGTTCTTGCTAACTTGGGTAAATAAGAATTCCAGAAGGTAATCTAGGGTTTTCCCACCACAAGATGATGTCAGATCATTTCAAGTAATGCCAGGCAGGGGGAGCCTCAGCACAGTAAATCCTTACTTTTAAACAAGCTCAAACACTTGCCTTTTATGTCATGGAATTTAGCTGTTGTAAACAAACCCCTGGTGCCTTTTCCCCATTCTTGTCTGGAAATGTAAGGCCCATGACTATGCAACTCCAAAAGTAGTTTCTGCCTAGGAAAATGACTCGAATCGTACAGGTGATTTTACTGGAATGAATAGTTCAGGATCTCTTGTGTTTGGTTAATAAAATGTCCATTTTACTTTTGTTATTCACAAACATTTTCTAATGGGTGACCCCTTATTTATTTTACAGTGGCCTATCTCCACAATTTTTATTCCCCTCTCATTCCTTAGTCTGATTTATTTTCTTAATATGTGTGTGTGTGTGTGTGTGTGTGTGTGTGTGTGTGTGTATGATTTGTCCCCCCAAGTAACATGTGAACTCTCTAAATGGCTATAATTTTGTTCATTTTATTACTATATTCTCAGTGTCTGGAACAATGTCTGGCATGGTAGTTACTCAAAAAACTGTTGAATGAAGAATAAATAGAGTTTTCATTATTATTTAAACTGATACCTTTTGACTTAGCAAACAAATATAAGAATTATGTAAAAGTGTGACACTTCTGAGTTTATTATTCTCTTTAGGAATTTCCCTGATAACTAAGGGAAGTAATAAGGACTGAAAACTTTGATCACTGCCCTTCTTTAGTGTAATCTCTTTCATAATTTAGTTCAGTAATCTTCCTACAACTTACATTGTTTGTACAATATTCGGTCAGGATGTGCTGATGAGTAAAAATTGAGCAACCTAGGACTGTAGTAAAGGAAGTACTCTAATTGTACATTAGTGTGAAAGTTCTACTACACACACACACACACACACACACACACACACACACATACACACACGTTAGGTCATCCGAGTATCTCAGATATTGCCTTTGCTTCACGGGTACTGTGTAGGTGAGGTGAGGCCCCTGGCTGAGGAACAGAGCAGCTAAACCCAATCATTTGTAGTGGACATTATCTTCAGGAAATACAGAAGGCTGAACTTTAATAAAGCAGTCATCATAATTTTGAGCATTTTCTTCCCAGAGCAAAAAAGGATGAATGAATGATTGAATAACTATTTAAAAAGCCATGTTTCTGATTAGTTATCAGGATTGTAGTTGCCAGGATGGAAGTGTGAATGACAGCTTTTGGCACGGGGCATGACAAGATGTGAGGTTGCCAATCTCCCAGATTGGTTCCCAAACAAGAAGGAAGGTCTATTTTTCAGATTGATCCCTGAGGTCAGTGAGATTTATCTGCCAAATCATTCCTTCATTCAGCAAATATTTATCGAGTGCCCACAGGCGCTACACACTGTGCAGGTAATACAGGAGTGGCCTGGACAGATCGTGTTCCCGCTCTCTCAAGCTCTGTTCCAATCCAGTGTCCTTTGGGGCCACAGGTATCTTAAAGAATGTGTGAAGGTGAAGGACCTTTTCAATAAAGTCAAAGTCAGTCAATCAATCAGCCTCTTACACACACACACACACACACACACACACACACACACACGCACGCACACACCCAGCTGTCCGTGCGTGGTGGGGGAGTCCCACACTCACTGCGTTTCACTCCTATTTCCTGAGGTTCAGAAGACATAGTTCAAGTTTGCCAGGTGGAGGACCCTCTTTTTTTGCCCTCCAGCCTCTTTGCTGCTCTTGCCACCCCCTTAGCACCTATGATGTCTGGGATAAGACTTCCTGTACTTTTCTTTTCCGATTTGATCACATACGATAGAGCAGTAAATCTCTGGGAAGAGAGTCCAAGATATAATAAGGCTGCCTGAGTCAGCAGCCAACTTGTCCTGTGGCTTTGAGGAAGTCACTGCCTCTCCCTAAGTCTCTTTTTTTGCATCTGAGCAGTGGAAAGGGTTGGGTTTGAATAACTGATTGGGTGTAGGCTAAGTGGACATGGGAGGAAACAGAGCATCGGTGGGTACATTAGCTGGTGATTTTGAGAAAATTACTTTATCCAAGTCTTAATTCTCACTTGTGAAAGGGGATAAACAACATGTATGGCATGGGTTAGGTGTGAGAATTATACTGAAAATATATACACTGCCCAGGACAAAAATGGTAGCTGCTGGCAGCCTTATTATATCCAAATTGTCCTTCAGGGGAATGTAGTCATTCAATAAACTGTTTATTGAGGACCTGGCGTAGACTACTCCTAGGATTATATTCCTGTGATGCTAACCCAGCTGCCAGGCAATGGTATAGGACAGCAGTGAAGGAATTCACTGTGTTCAGGCCTGGTTGAATTTCCTGGCTCCCCACGCACTAGCTGGTGACCCTAAACTCTTTGACATTTATTCAGTTTCCATTTCTGAAAAGTGGGGTAATGATATCCCAGAACCAAGTCACAACGAAGAGGCCACTAGGGGATTGAAACAAGACTGGGGGGGGGGGGGGTAAAGCCTTTAGCACAGCAGCGGGCACAAAGAACACTCTTCATTAAATAAGGCTGGTTCAGTATTGGTAATATTAGTTATTGATTAGCTTCACCTAACCTCCCCCGCTACATCCAGGGCTAGGTTGGGTCTAAGAAAGCTTTCTCCTAGAGTTCATTCAGGCCCAGCTGTGTTTAGGCCCTCACTTACCCGGGCTGAAGTGGTAAAATGAAGACCCTTGATTGAAAGCGAGCCTTAGACGTTGCTTGGCGAATACTTACTGTTCCCACGCGTAACTGGGGTTACTACGGAATAGTTCACGTTGGTGAAAGATGGATGCTAATTCTCCTCTATGTACTTTCTTTTAGTATCCCAACCCCATGGACAAAAATGTCATATCGGTAAACACCGTGGAGGAAAAAAGAGGTAAGTTCTCCGAATTTACCCACTTCAGTGATGAGCATTAAGTGATCCTCATTGTTGTAAAGATGTGTGTCTATGGTGTATGTGTAGCCTGTTATGTTTTAAACAGGTGTAGTTCTATATTTGAAGTTACTGAGAGAAGAGAACACTGAGTATTTATAGCAATAGAACGCTTGCCTACTACGCTCTTGCCACTTTCTCAGTTAATAATTCATTGATGACAATAATAACAGCTAACATTTTTGAGCACTTAATATGTGCCAGCCACATTTTCTTTTATTTAATCTTCAAAACAATGTATGGGGTAGGTATTATGGTTACTTCTCTTTAATGAATGAAGGAACCAAGGTAGAGAGAGAAAAAAACTTGTCCAAGTTTGCATGATTATAACCTCTAACATATTCATATGTCATTTTAGAGATGGCATATGGTTAATAGCATGTGTGTGAGATGTGACTGTAAAGTGATTCAATTATGGGGCCATAATTGTACTTACTATGTTTCAGTATTGACCAGAGCAAGGGATGATAAATTATGCTTGTGTGGCCTGTGTTGTCAATAAAGTTTTATTGGTACTCAGCCATACCTGTTTGTTTAGATTTTATCTATGGCTGCTTCCTGGTGACAACTCCAGAGTTGAATTTTTGCAATAGAGACTATAAGGTTTACAAAACCTAAACTATTTACCACCTAGCCCTTTACATAAAATGTTTACTGACCCTGGACTAGAGTGTAAGAGTCTTTTCTCTGTCCCTCATATCTCCCGTGGAAGCATTTTCTCTCTCGGTATTTGAACTTGAGACCTGGGCACTGCAGGGAACTATAATGATGGGCACAATCCATGTGTAAACCTTTGGAGACACCCAGTGCCCGGTCTGACATGTTTTGGAGCCTTCAGAGTAAACGTATGAGATGCTACTTTTCATTACATGACATTGAGGCCTCTGTGCTCGGTGAACAGAAAACTGTCTTTTGCTTGTGAGGTTATTTTCTGCACTTCCACAACTCTTATAAATATATTAAAAAAAAACCCACACACATTTTCTCAGGTACCTGCACTCAGTGTGGGAGGAACTTGTTATTTGGCAAGTCCTGATTTTGTTACTATAACCTAACTTCCTGGAGGCTCAGTCTCTTCATCTGTTCAATGAGAAAATAATAAACCTGCCTTTAAGTTGTTGTGAAGATCAAATGAGAGAACAATGTGCATATTCCAGAGTGGAATAGGGACATTAATTATAATTTCCACCATTGACCAGGGCTGAAGGAGTGGCTAATCCATTTCAGTATGTGTGCTGCACACATGGCATGAGATGGCAGGAGGAGTGCCGATAGGCAGAGAAGACAGACCAATCTCTTATCCTGTCAGCAGCTTCCAGTCAGAAGCTGGCTTTGCATCGAGGTTCAGGGCTCCTGTGGCCAGAGGCATGAGCAACCTCATAGGAATGTGGCCTCGTCACAGGAATTCATAGCGCAAATGACAATGCTTCAGAGTTTTATCTTTTTCTCTAACTTTTTCTGAACTCACATTTATTCAGTGGTTTCTTTCTTGTTTTGTGTGTTTTGTTTGTTTGTTTTACATTCCTGTTGTTATTCTGGAAACTTCCTTCCAAAATAGTAGTTCCAGTCTTGGGGAGTCTGTTCCCCTATGAGAAAGGTATGCCTGATATAATTAATTGTAAGCTTAAATTTTGTAGCCAGAAATCTGGGTTTGAAAACATGTTTGGTGCAGAAGATGGTAGAATCAGATTCTCCATTTATTTTTTTGTTTTTGTTTTTGTTTTGTTAAACATTCTCTTTGTTGGAGTTGAGCAGGAGGCTCACTGGCCATTGTCATTGGAGTGTTGACATTGGTAGTTCATAGCAGTGGACAATTTGTGACTTTTTATCTTTAACTTTAGAATGTACACTTGTGCCAAAACCGGTTTGGCTCAGTGGATAGAGCGTCAGCCTGCGGACTGAAAGATCCCGGGTTCGATTCCGGTCAAGGGCATATACCGTGGTTGCAGGCACATCCCCAGTAGGGGGTGTGCAAGAGGCAGCTGATCCATGATTCTCTCTCATCGAAGTTTCTAACTCTCTATTCCTTTCTCTTCCTCTCTGTGAAAAAAACAAAAAAACAAAACAAAAAAACCCCCACAATTAAATAAATAAATAAATAAATGATTAGAATGTGCACTTGTGAGTAGCTGTTTACACATGTTCCTTGGTCACAGATAAGTGTGTTTGGAATGATTTGACCCAGAAAAGTGGTCAGAGATCCTAGGTTTTGAGTCAAATGTGGTTTTTTTTAAGGAATTCTACAGATAGGAAATGGAGATCGACATTTAAAGTTTTATTGACTGTAGACAAGCATACATTTCCGTAAATACCCTTTTGAGTGTAAAATTTTTCTATTTCTAGATGTGTCAACAGGGATCATCTATAGAAAGAGGATTGCAATCTGTCGGAATGTGATTCCAGAAATTTTAAGGAAGGTAAATGCATTTCAAAATGTTAGCAGCTTTGGTGTAACGTTGGGGAATTTTCTAGCCATGGAAAGAGCATTTTCTGATGGAAAGCAGAACTTTTTCCTGCCTCATAGCCCTTCAGAGAAAAAAATATCTGTTATTATCCAGCCTCAGGTTTTACCTCCTTCTTTTCATGAACCCCTGAAGGCCTGCTGCCTGGAGTGCCCTAGAAACCAGCCTGAGGTCAGGCATGAGAAGTAATGCTTTTTTTTTTTTTTTTTTTTTTTTTTTTTTTTTAAAGATTTCTTATTGGCTTCATAGAGAAAGGAACGGAGAGGGAGGGAGAGAGAAACATCAACATGAGAGCAAAACATCGATTGGCTGCCTGCTGCACGCTCCTTACAGGAGATGGAGACTGAAACCTGGGCATGTGCCCCAACCTGGAATCTAACCGGCCACCTTTCAGTGCAAGGGATGACACCCAACCAACCCAGCCACACCAGCCAGGCCAACCTCAGTTCTGGCAGATGCCACTGGAGATAGTTGTTTCCCTGTCTGGCTCTGTGTCTCTCTCTTTTGTGGATGACTCTTAGTGGACATAGAGCTGGTCTTCACTTATTTTAAAGATACCATGGACATTTGACATCAAGTGACCATCTTTCCTGATCTGTCCCTGGTTAGATGTGACTTAAGTAAGAATGGTCAGAGCTGAGCAGATGGTAGATGTTTTACCAGATCTTTGGTAGGGGAGGTAAAAGCTTCCGTTTCTGTTTCACTCTCAGAAGTGAAGACCCTTATTTCAGGGAGTGGAATGCTCTCGGTGCTCTCTGTAAGCCTTTTCCTGTATGTTTCTGTAAAGTGATGGTGTTGGTGATGAAATCTTCATGATAGCAAATTGTTTTCTTTCTTTGAAATCCTTCAGCACACTGGTGATTGTTGGGGGAAAAAAGGTAAGTGGAGATTTTAAATCACATTGCTCCAACTGTAGAGAAATTAGTGACAAGAGCCTTTTTTGGCATCATTAGGAAATACGAGGAGAGCATCCTGGTTCACAGTTATAAGATTTCTCAGACGTTTGTTTCAGCCTGGGAGCGATTCTGTGTGTGACGTGGAGCCCCACTGGGCTCCTACCCACGAGCTTGGAAATGACATTGCTGTGCCGTCTGTAGGAAAAATGGTGGCTTCTATCACTTCTGTCACATTCTTCAATGGGAAGAAAGGTGATAACACAGTGGAAACGAGCTTTCTTTTATTTTCCAGGGGGTAAAATGTGTTGCAATTTGTGCAGCAAAAATTCTTACTGGCTTTTTCCGTCAAGTGCATGCCCTGCCTGCCTTTGACCTATATACATATTTTGAATCTATTATTTAAAAAGGCATTCAACTTTGTGTTGTATCTCAATTCTTAAATAATTCAAGGACACCTCTGACTTGTACAGTTCTGTCTTTGCAGTCTTCCATGTCTCCTCACCTAGGAAAGCATACATTTCTAGATGTAGTCAGAGTTTAAAATGAAGAAAATATTTTACCTGATATTGTCCTGCACATGAGCCCATAGTTGGCCCAGTTAGAATCCGTTGATTGAAGGCTATAACCAGCCCTAGAGGCTATGCGAAGAAGGCTGATAATTTGCTTAATGCTTAGCCATTAGGGAAATCAGGCCAACGACTGAATGGCCTGCATAAATCCCGGGCCATTTGCACGTCCTCACCAGCACTTAGTAAGGTCATAGTATGTTTGATTATCAAGGACTTATTAGGATCATTTCTCCTCTTAATTGTCCAAGACTGAAAGCACTTCTGGGTGCAGTCTTTATGTAGCCTGCTCTTCCAAAATTGAGAAAGCTGTCCTCCCTCTGTTGGACAGGTGAGCATTTTAAAGATACCTGATATCCAGTTAGAAGAGGAATCCTGGCTCAATCCCCAGAAAAGAAGCATGGCTATCCAGAGTCACTGTCTTACGTGGACACAATATGCATCCATGAAGGAAGAGTCTGTCTTCCAGGAAAGCCTGGAAAACCCAAATTGGTAAGATCACCTCTGTGTGTGTGTGTGTGTGTGTGTGTGTGTGTGTAGGTTGGGTGCAGGGATGCACAAATGAGCACATGTATTAAAAAGCTATAATGTGTACTTGCAATCTGTATAATCTTATCAACCAGTGTTACCCCCATACATTTAGTAAAAAGCACCTATGATTTCATACTTATAACTTCTGTTTACTTCTCACATAAATGACACATTATTGATTTGTAAGCACACAGGTAATTAATGAGATTTCCTTGTGAAGGGAAAATGATAGAGCTCACCTCCTTTCTGGCCACCCTGTTCAATCCTGGTGTCTTTTGCCTTCTCCAGAGGCAATGAGTGTCATCACTGAGCTGAGTATTTTCCTGGACTTAAAAATATAAAAAGCCAAAAAAAAAAATATATATATATATATGTATATGATATATATATCATATATATATATCATATATATATATTATTGGCTTTTAACAGAGAGGAAGGAAGAGGGATAGAGAATTAGAAACATCGATGAGAGAGAAACATCGATCAGCTGCCTCCTGCACCCCCCCCCCACTGGGGTTGTGCCCGCAACCAAGGTACATGCCCTTGACTAGAATTGAACCTGGGACCCTTGAGTCCGCAGGCCGATGCTCTATACACTGAGCCAAACCAGTTGGGCATTTTTCTAGACTTTTAAGAGATACCTCTAGGTACTCACTCACCTGTGGACTCTCAAAGTCTGCATAGTATAGTTTCATATATCTGCTTTTACATACATGCTTTCATTCTGTGTGAAACATTGTGCCCTTCTTTTTTGCATAATAGAATGTTTCTAAACTTTATCCATAACACACACACACACACACACACACACACACACACACACACACATATATATATATGCCATATTCCTTTGAGCTGTTGCATCATCTTCCACCTTATGATTACACTATATTCTATTTAGCTTTTTCCTTTTTGACAGATGTTCTGGTGGTTTCCATTTTTTTTTATTTATTATAAACAGTACTACAATATTGGTAAGGCTTATAATCCTCATAAATGCCATGCGAATGTTTCTCTAAAGGAGAAATTTTAATTCTCAGTTTTATTGAGATATTATTTACATATAATAAAATTTATTCTTGCCCTAGCTGGTTTGGCTCAGTGGTTAGAGTGTTGACCTCTGGACTGAAGGGTCATGAGGTTTGATTCCCAGTCAAGGGCAAGCACCTCGGTTGCAGGTTTGCTCCCTGGCCCCGGTTGGGGCATGTGTGGGAGGCAATCAATTGATGTTTCATCTCTCTCTCTCTCTCTCTCTCTCTCTCTCTCTCTCTCTCTCTCTCTCTCTCTCTCTTCCTCTCCCTCTCTCTCTCCCTCTTCTCCCTCTCTTCCACTCTGTCTGAAAATCATTGAAAGGGATATCCTGAAACAAAAGACTGCATGGGAGGGGAGGGGCATCGGGATAAAAATAATTGGAATATACTAGCAAGGAGGAGGTACTACACACCCTTTCCCTCTTCACCTTGGTGCCCATTGTCTTGGTCATGCTTTGGAAGTAATAGAAACCTACCGATGCAAATGAATTCAGGGATCTCTCTGTCCACGTGCGGGCCTTCCATGGAATAGGAACTAAGGCAGCCTCAGAGTCTCTTGTCTTTGTATACCTGGCTCAGCTGGCTAACAGTCTACAGTCTGCTTTATTCACCCAGCCCACCTGGATCCTCTATACTTCTACAGGTTCTCATCCGAAGCCACAATACCTGGCTAGATCTTGGGTAGAATCCCACCTCTGAACTATGATATATGCCTTTGCACAATTTACCCCACATCTCTAAGCCTCAGTTTCCTCATTAGTATGAAGGGGATTGCTGTGACAGTCAAATGAGAGTAGTCGATAAATGTTAATGTCTAGAATTACTAAGGTACCTTTATTGTTGCTATTATCAGAATCTTAAAAATCCACATGACTCCCATCTTTAGCATGCATTATGTTACTGAAGAAACAGCGTTTATAATTGTTCCCATTAGGCTGCAGGAAGGTGTTCCGTGTTGTGACTTTGAGTTCCTTCAGCACACCCTCTCGGGGATAAGAGCTCCTCAATCTGAGAGGCATGGGAGGGAGGAATCCTTCCATGTTAGGTCCAGTGTGAGATTTGAGCACTGGAGGGAAAGCATTCAGAGTTAATGCAAGCGTTTGGCAGGGAACAAATCCCCTGTGTTCTGGTTTTCTTCCTGGTCCGTGCTGTGACTGTGGCTGCCATAGACCCAGGGGCATCACGCTTGGAGCTCCGAGGAGCTGCCTGTTTCCAGAGTCAGAGATGTTGGGCCAATGCACGGCTTTCCCTTTGACACTCGTCCCAAATCAGAGAGTAGAAAGAAAAAAAAATTAAAAATTGCCGAAACCGGTTTGGCTCAGTAGTAGAGCGTTGGTCTGCGGACTGAAAGGTCCCGGGTTCGATTCTGGTCAAGGGCATGTACGTTGGTTGCGGGCACATCCCCGGTGGGGGATGTGCAAGAGGCAGCTGGTCGATGTTTCTCTCTCATCGACGTTTCTAGCTTTTTATCTCTTTCCCTTCCTCTCTGTAAAAAATCAATAAAATATATTTTAAAAAATAATAAAAAAATTAAAAAATTAAAAAATTGACATCCAGCTCTTGTAGGAATGTGCTCTATTTAATAAGTGGGACAGGACAGAGGCATTTGCCTTTGCTAGTGGAGAATGGAGTACATTGCTTTAATTTCTCAGAAAGCAAAGTCATGGTTTCTGCCCTCTGAAACCCTACATTCTGAGATAAGCTTAATCATTTCTTACGATTTTGGGTTTGTTTCCCTTCTTTAAAAGATATCCGTTAGTTTCTTATTCTTTTGTTAGTTTTTATTGGACTATGTGGGAATATAATGGGTATGCATTTGATCTGTCTTTAATAATGGACTTTTTACCTTTCCAAGTAATGCAATTCTAAAAGATAATCATCTTATAAAAGCATTTTCTTGGGTGTTGCTCTTTCACCATAGCTGTTTGGGTTTTTGCGATAAGCAGTAAGGTTTTTCTTATCTAGAAGCAAGATTTAAGCTTTCCCATCAGTGGAGACTCCTATGTTTATGATGTTGGGGAGCTGGGGGTTTTGCTTTTGAGTAGCAGGACCATTCTTCCATACTCAGCATTGAGCATTTTAATGCCATTGTCTTCACCTTCCCATGTCTTAAGAGTTTCTGCTTATCCATTGATGCTTACAGATGCAATTTCTGAGATTTCAAAGTGCTCAGCCTAGTAGAATATGTATTAATCACATCTGATATGTTGACTCAATTTTTATTTTTAAAAATATATATATTTTATTGATTTTTTTTACAGAGAGGAGGGAGAGGGATAGAGAGTTAGAAACATCAATGAGAGAAACATCGATCAGCTGCTTCCTGCACACCCCCTACTGTGTGCCGGTAACCAAGGTACATGCCCTTGACTGGAATCAAACCTGGGACCTTTCAGTCCACAGGCCGATGCTCTATCCACTGAGCCAAACCGGTTTCGGCATTGATTCAATTTTTATAAAATATCAAAGACATTTATCCTGAAATACAGTGAAAGAAACAAGCCAAAGTCCAACTTTGCACACAGATTAAATGAATTTGATGAGCAACTGTTCTTAGTTCAAAGAATTTCCTTTATAATTGAAGTTACTCCTATGAATAATCTCCATTCTAACAAATAAGGTAGGTAACATTTAGAAATTTTTGTGTTTCAACTCCTGGATTAAAACATCCCAAGTTTTGAATTTTTATCAGGTGAATCACAAATCAAAAATGTGCATGTTTCAAGGGGGTAATATTAGGGCATTTTTCTTTGTGTATTTTTTTCTTACTCTGAAATCTTTTATTTGATTTTTGTGAAGTTGGACATTTTGTTAAGTTTCATGTGTTTAGCACAGGCCTTTTTAGTTGACTGCCAAACCTGCTTTCACTGCGATATGAAAATACTCTGGCTCTGTTAACTTGGTATTATTTCTAATCTCTAATCCTGTTGATAAAGAGCACAAGGGTGTAATTATCTAGTAGCCTGAATAAATATCACTGTATTTGTCCCAAAACACGACTCCCTGTGCTCACATTGACCTGGATTTCCGGGCCTTCTCCCTGTAAATATGACATCTGGGCAGGAGCCTTCTTTTTGGCCCAGTAAGACTGTTCTCCAAAAGATACTCGCTTGCTTTTTATGTCTGTGCTCACAAAACAGGTCTCTGTTTTCCCATTCTGCTGTACCTGTACCTTCAGTGTGTATCTAGCATGGTACTTGGCTCATAGAGGAGACCCTGTGGCCATTTATTGAATGAATGATGAATGACCACCTGCTCTAGGAGTTACAGATAGTGCTCTTCATGGGCTGAAGTGGGCACGAAGGGAAGGACCTGAAAAGTGATGGAACCAGCAGGAGGGGCAAGTGCAATTGGGAAAGTCCAATAGGATTTGGTAGGAGATTTGATGTAGAGGGAATCTGGAACCATTCATACGGAGACCTATTAATGGTGTAGCTGCTTGGATGCTGCCATGGCGTTTGGCTCTGGGCTAAAGGGTAAAGCTGGCCGAGCTCCCTGAGAGTGAGGTTTAATAAGATAATAAATGGAGATGTTCCTCACTTGGAGGGTATAAGGCACTAGATAAATGCAAGTTGTTGTTGGAACTAATGGTGAATCTAAATGCTGTGTTCAAAATGGGGTGATTCCTTAAAGTACTAACTTTGAAAAATGGAGTAAGCTGCTTTATTGCAAAGGATGGTGATGATTGAACTGGAAACAATGATGTTCAGCCAAGAGAGCATTCTGTGCCATTTCCAAGTAAGAGCTTTGGAAATATTTTAGAGAATGCCTCTGGATTTATTTTTCATCCTCCTACTTTTTAGTTTAGTTTTTTTTTTTTTTTTTTTTTTTGAGTTGTGTGTTAATGCAGGCCTCAGGGGGGAGGGAAAGCCTGGAGATAATTCTAGTCCTGTGGACTTGGGCTAGCTCCTGGAAATCACTGTCTTTAAAAAGTCCTCCAGCCTTAGCTGGTTTGGCTTAGTAGATAGAGCTTCGGCCTTCAACTAAAGGGTCCCAGGTTCAATTCTAGTCAAGGGCACATGCCCATGTTGCAGGCTCAATTCCCAGTAGGGGCTGTGAAGGAGGCAGCCAATCATATTTTCTCTCATCATTGATGTTTCTATCTCTCTCTCCCTCTCCCTCTCTGAAATCAATAATATATATCCTTGAATGAGGATAAAACAAATAAACAAAAAGTCTTCCAGGTAAATCCGATGAGCAGCTCAGTTTGAAAGCCCCTGATCACCTGTCTGCACGCTGTGGGCTCAGGGATGAGCAAGCATCTAGCTGGCAGGGTCGACTAAGACCATCAGAAAACACAGATATTTACATTACGATTCATTAACAGTAGCAAAATTACAGTTATGAAGTAGCAACGAAAGTAGTTTTATGGTTGGGGTCATCACAGCATGAGGAACAGTATTAAAGGGTCGAGGCATTAGAAAGGTTGAGAACCACTGCCTAGATTCTCTTGTGCACATAATGTATCAATACCTGGATGCGTTATGCATATTTTCATTATAGCACCATTGATAATAGCTCCAAACTGGGTCCATTCTAAATGTCCATCTTCAGTGGAGTGGATATATAATTTGGAGAACTTTCAAACAGTAGAACACTATGAAGCAATGAAAATGAATAAACAGTAGCTACATGCATCATTATGGATGAGTCTTAGCTGAGGTCATGGGCTTTATTCTCTGCCTAAGTAAACAGCCAATGATGACATCAGTGTGCGTGTGTAGGACACTGACTCTGGGCAGTGTGGGTGGTAGAGTCCAAGCTGGAGACAGGGACCCATTGGGAGGCAGTGTGGTGGTCGTGTGGAGAGAAAGCCATCAGGTACCGAATTAAGGAGACTTTAAGTGAAGGATAAGTCAGAAGTTAGCATACTCCTGGGTTGAAAATGGTTCTTGGTAGCACAGAGCCTTTAAAGAATAATTTTTATTTATATAAAAATGATCATCAGGGCTTTATCCTATATAATATAAATATAATATGCAAATTGATCCTAACAGCGGAACAATCAGAACGACTGCTGAACCAGTCACTATGAGGTGCACTGACCACCTTTTGGTCCCTTTCCCCTGCCTGCAGGCTCTGATCTCCTGAAGGCGAACAGGGAACCTGGGGTGGATGGCGGGGGGACGACTGCAGCACCATGTTAAGCCCCTGCCCTGCCAGTCACCTTCCCACACAGAGAGTGACCCATGGTGGGGGTGGGGGTGGAGAGTGGGTGGGAACAGCCGACCTCTCAGTCCCTTCCCCTGGCCATCAGGCACTGATCACCCGATGGTGAAAGGGGAACCGGGGTGGGTGGTAGCGGGGGTGGGTCTGGTGGTGGGCAGCCAAGGAAGTTGGCCCTGATTGCAGGCCACGCCTAGGGACCATACCTGTGCATGAATTTCATGCACTGGGCCTCTAATTATTTATATTTTGGCCTCTAGTTATTTAAATTATTTATTATTTACATTGGCAAGTAATACATATTTATTATAGAAAATTAGTAAAAAAGAGCAAAGTAAATAAATACAACCTATAATTCACCTATAGATTTTCTTGTCAATATTTTAGCTGTCCATTTGTTGAAACCCAGCCATTGGCAATCAGAAGGGAGAGAATGACATTGACTGTTGAGAGATGTTAGAAAGAAAACAAACACAACCTGTCAACTGATTGAATGGATTGATTGGAAAGAAAACCATATAACATACTGCTGAGACTTCTAAGGGCATAGACTAGGAGGATGCTTATGTCATTAACTGAGGTAAGAGCAGGACTGGAGTTTTGAGATTTCGGTAGAAAATGAATCTGCCTGACATCAGGTCAATATGACCTTGGGCAAGTTCTTTAGCTTCTTTTTATCATAGTTTTCTCAGTAAGAGATAGAGCAAATTTAAGAGGAACAACCTCAGAAGATTATATAACATCTGATAGAAAATATACAGTTACTATGCAGTTTTTTGAAGAGTAGGTGTGACCCAGGTATATTACATCATAAAGGAGATGCAGTCCTTCCTTTAGGCTTAACAGATAAAAGACAGGTTTAAGAAAACTTCAATCTCCTATGTCTCTTGAGGGAAACAGAACAGGTCAAGCTTAGGCATGGGAAAAAGCCTTAGGGCCAAAGGCACAAAGAACTAAGGTTACATAGGGCGGGAAAAAGGGAAGCCATCAGGTGATTAAGGAGACTTTAAGTGAAGGAGAAGCCAGATTTAGCATACTCCTGTGTTGAAAATGGTTCTTGGTAGCACAGAGCCTTTAAAGAATAATTTTTACTTATATCAAAGTGGTCATCAGGGTCTTATTATCAGTATTTTTGGTGATTGTCAAGTAATACATATTTATTATAGAAAATTAGTAAAAAGAACAAAGTAAATAAGTAACATATATAATTCATCTATAAAATTTCTTGTTAATATTTTAGCTGTCTGTTTGTTCGTGCATTCATCCATCTATTCATCCATCCTTCTCCTCCTCCTCCTCCTCCTCCTCCTCCTCCTCCTCCTCCTCCTCCTCCTCCTCCTCCTCCTTCTTCTCCCCTTCACTTCCTCCTCTTCCACCTCCTTCTCCTCCTCCTTCCTCAAAAAGGGTTGAAATTAAACTGTATATTGTTGTGTAACCTGCACAGGAACTTACATGGAGGCTTCTCTAACATGAGGGATTTAGGTTAGCTCTGTGTAATAAGAAGCAAATATCTGATGTGCTTTGTCAGTGACTTATTTAGGGAAACTGCAGCATTTTCCTCTCTGGCAATCTTGAAATATAATGGAATAAACTCTTATCTCGTTGATGGCAAGGGCAGGACCCTGCTTCACTGTCCTGTTATTAAACCATATGTGGAAAAACTCTGAGCATGCTTTTCTGAGCACACACTTCTCCCAAAATGGGTGAAAAGAAATATCACTTAGAATGTGATGTAAGAAAGACTTTTATTAATCCCTCACCTATAATTGCTTTGAGGATTGAAGAGTGTACCTATCCCAAGAGAGTAAGACTGCACAACGTTTTATTTTTAAATATTAAAATCACTGTTAAATTCTACTCTGACTAATCAGGAATAAAGACAGGAAAGATTAGTGTCACATGAGCAAATCATTTTAAATAGGCTTAAATCTAAGAGGTGGAAGCTGCTTTGCCTAGATTATAACTATTTGCCTAGACCATTTATATTGGATTGGCTAGGGTAACTGTGTGTGTTTGTGTGTGTGTGTGTGTGTGTGTGTGTGTGTGTGTGTGTGTGTGTGAGAGAGAGAGAGAGAGAGAGAGAGAGAGAGAGAGAGAGAGAGAGAAAGAGAGAGAAAGAGAGAGAGAGAAAGAGAGAGAAAGAGAGAGAGAGAGAGAAAGAGAGAGAAAGAGAGAGAGAGAGAGAGAGAAAGTAAAAGAGAGAAGACAGTGCTCTGAAGGCTTTGTTTTTCTGTATGATCTAAATGTAGTCTACTGATAAAAAAAAGGATTGGGGAGAAGGTCTAATTAATTGTTAGATAACTATCAGGATTGGAGAAAAGGTCTAATTAATTAAGTTAGTAATTATTGTTACTAAAATCACAGCTTTTTGGATTCATAGTTTTCTCTGAACATTTTTCTTAGTGTCAGTAAATGTGCTTATATATGCAGACACACACACACACACACACACACACACACACACACACAGGACATGGTTTCTATCTCCTTTCCATAAAAATCTAAATAGGGAAATTATTTCCTTTGTAGACTCTTTTTGATTATAAGAAATTTAAATTATTTCATTCAGCCTGGGCATAAAGAGAGTAGTTGAGCTTCTGAAAGGTCTGACCATCACTCATTCAGAAATTTTTGTGTTTTTTTCTGCTGTATTGCAAAATATGCATTTGTAAAAAAGCCTCATGTTCCACAAAATTACACTCTTAAAATATCCTATTGAGATGTAGTTGACATATAACATTGTGTAAATTTAAGATGTACAATGTAATTATTTGATATATGTGCATAATGCAAAATGTTACTTTTTCTTTTGGTGATGGTGAGAAATTTTAAAATATACTCTCCTAGCAACTTGAAACAAGTATTCTCTAGTTTGAATATGACTGTGGCTCCTGTTATATAATCTGTAAGTCTTTAATGAAATATTTTATTGTAACAGGCAATTATTGAGTTGCTGTGGATATAATTTTGTGATGATTATAAGTGGTAATTAGGCTTTGGAAATACCTGTGGATTAAATATCTGAATGCAGAATGACATCAAAAATTATACTTCTATTTTTTGCAGGACAGAGTTCATTCAAAGAGGCAGGATTTCAATCACAGGAGCTGGCTTTCTCAACTGCATTTTGGAAACTTTTGCCAGCACATTCTTAAGACAAGGAGCCCAAAAGGTAAGCTTGTTTTCATTTGGAACCAACATTAATAATTCTAAGAAACCATGGATATTCCCATTGGACTCTTGAATAAAGCTCCTATACATACATAAGAAGAAAAAAAATACAGTTCATAAACAAAGATATGCCAAAATAATCACTCTCACTAATCTTATATAATAGAAGCCTAATATGCTAAGTGTCCAACCATTTGACCATTCGACCAGTCGCTATGACATGCACTGACCACCAGGGGCAGACACTCTGACCCGTAAGTTAGCTTGCTGCTGGGGTCTGACTAATTAGGACTGGGGAAGATAGGCTTTATTTCCTTTGTAGACTTTTTTCGATTATAAAAAATTTAAATTAATTCATTCAGCCTTGGAGCCCTCCTGCGGTCTCTCCTGGCCCTAATCATGCACTGGTGGGGTCCCTCGGCCTGCCCTGCCCCTCTCACAGTCTGGGATCCCTTAGGGGATGTGGGAGAGCCGGTTTCAGTTCTATCCCCACAGGCCAGGCTGAGGGACCCCACCAGTTGCACAAATCCATGCACTGGACCTCTAGTTATTATCTAAATACAAATCAAAGTAAAACTAAAATACTATCTGTGCCCCATTACATTAAAAATATACCAGTGAAGAGTATGTGGTCATATGGAGAATACTTGTAGTCTAATTAAGAGAAAGAATCAGAAAGAATAATTATATTTATTGTATATACAATATGATGACAACTACTTAATTAATAAGATAATAACTGATATTTATTGAGTGCTTACTGTGTGCTACTCACTGTAAAAAAGAATTTTTACTTATTTATTCCTTGCAAACCTTTGAGAAAGCTATAATTTTGCCCTGATATTAGGGATGAAGAAGACATAGAAATTCGGAGCTTTCTGTTGTCCATTACTGTGGTTTTCAAACTCCATAACTGGGGAGCTTAGGCTTCAGGAAGGTGATTCAGAGGCCACCTTGGCATTCAAGGTTCCTATGTACCTGTTTTAAGTAGAGCAATTTGGTTTTTAATCCAATATGGTATCGTATGAGATTCATATGTCCTGTATTCTTGCCTGGAGCAAAGTCTAACTTATGCATCTTCATATGCCTATTGCAGGTGTTCTGCAGTGGTTTTGAATTATTTAATATTTATTTTATTTATAGTGTATTATTTATGATATTATTTTGTTATTTTTAATTGTAATTATGAGCATAATCACTTATTTCCAGGATTTACTCAAAACTTGTGCATATGTTACTGGCTGGTCTGAGGACTATTGTTATGACAGGTTTACTGGCTGGTCTGAGGACTATTGTTATGACACCCAAAGATATTATGGACAATGGACCTTTGTCTTTAGTTTGTAAGCCTGGATTCAAGAATGAGCCTGAACCACGATGCATTAGTCTGGAAGACTGAGAGGGATGAATGAGTGTTTGGTACTGAGTTGTATCCATAGACAACTCAGTACCAAATACTTAAATACTTAAATACTATTATGATGTTCTCCTGGCCCAGATTAGCTTTTGTCCAGACTGGCCTAGCCTGTTTCAGCCTGGGCATGATGAGGGTAGTTGAGTTTCTGAAAGATCTGACCATTGCTCATTTAGAAATTATTGTGGGTTTTTCTGCTGTATTGCAAAATATGCATTTGTAAAAAAGCCCCATGTTCCACAAAAGTATACTCTTAAAAATAATAAGGCTGATGAGAAAAATAATTTCGGTGTCATGTTCCTGCCTGAGTTGATTTCTTGGATATTGTTTAGGTCAGGAGTGGCAAACTTGTTTTCTGTAAAGAGTCAGATGAAGCCGAAACCGGTCTGGCTCAATGGATAGAGTGTCGGTCTGCAGACTGAGAGGTCCCAGGTTCGATTCCGGTCAAGGGCATGTACATTGGTTGTGGGCACATCCTTGGTAGGTGGTGTGCAGGAGGCAGCTGGTCGATGATTCTCTCTCATTGATGTTTCTAGCTAACTATCTCTTCCTCTCTGTGAAAAATCAATAAAGTATATTTAAAAAAAAAGAAAAAGATGAAGTTAGACTTTGTGGACCAAGAGGCAAAATTGAGCTATTTTGTAGCTGTTTTATAACAAGAGAGAAACCAATTTGCACACATTTTATTAAAAATATAATAACAGTAATTGAGTATACTTTTTTGGTAATATAGCTCTACTAAGAACATAATTCTTAGAAGAATGGAATTAATATTTTTTACATTTAGCTGATCTGGAATAAAAAAATTAATTCTTCCTACTATCAAATTGGTTGTAAATGTTTATTTGTAAAGACTGTTCTTATCTTATGAACCCTACAAACACAGGTAATGGGCTGGATTTAGCGTGTGGACTATCTTAGACTGTAGTTTGCCAATCCTTGCTTTGGATAAATAAATAATGTTTGATTAATCCAAGTAGGCATACAGTGGTTGTACATTTTGATCCTGTGAGATACATAAAGTAGGCATTATTATTCCCATTTTATTGATGAGAAATGTCTTGAAGAGATAAGTGCACCCAATATGTACATGGTGCTTGCCCGCTTCCTTCCTTTACAAGTGCATATTGAACACCTGCTTTGTGCTAGGCACTGTGTTATATGTGGGCTGACTGGATCTCCTCAAGATCATAGGTCTAGCAGGGGGTGGAGTCTGGACTCAAATCCCTATCTTTTATCAATAAGTTTTACCTTTTCCACTTTATCAGAAGTGGCCTGGCCTAGTGCAAGCTTTTGAGGAGTGGGGAATATCTGCCCTCCCCCAGGTCTCTGGCTTCACAGTACGTTTGTTTCATGCTCTTGATAGCAGAGAGGGGATTTTATTAACCTTAGTTCTAATTCCCTTCAGCACGTAGTACCATGGACAGCGCTCTGTACATTTCCATAGAAATGAGTAGCGTTCCAGTTGGTTTCTGATGACTACTGTCTGGAAATAATCAGGGGACACCAATTTTAAAGTGAGGAAGCCAAGTGATTCCTCTGAATCTCACTCATTATGCTCAGAAGTATGACTATATTCTTTTCTGCCAGCTTTTTCCAAGTTTTCTTTTCTTTTCTTTTCTTTTCTTTTCTTTTCTTTTCTTTTCTTTTCTTTTCTTTCTTTCTTTCTTTCTTTCTTTCTTTCTTTCTTTCTTTCTTTCTTTCTTTCTTTCTTTCTTTCTTTCTTTCTTTCTTTCTTTCTTTCTTTCTTTCTTTCTTTCTTTCTTTCTTTCTTTCTTTCTTTCTTTCTTTCTTTCTTTTTTTTTTTTTTTAGAAGCCTTGTTTAATTAGCTTTTCAAGTGTAGGAGCCACTCATGCCTAAGTGTCTTTTACCTTTTATTCAAGTGGTGATATTTTCTGGTGTCAGCCTGATTTCCTGATAAAGTCTTCACAGCTGAGCCTTCATAAGTGGCTTTTGCGGAGGTCACCACGAGTGTTTCAGGTGACTTTATTTTCACTTTAGAACTTTATTCCTAAGGCCGTTGAGTGGTGGTAAAGGTGGGATCTGATATCTTTTTTTCCCCTCAAAAAGAACAAAGCCAGACACTCAGAGTATTTATGTCCCTGTGTTTGTAAATTAAAAGCCAGCCCTGGACACAGATCTCTAAGCTGAGGTCACGTGTGTTTCTGTGCCTCTGGGGACTTGGTTGCATTTCTCTTCTCCCTCCTCAGGTGGCCCATTGATCAGGGGCCTTCTGGACAGTAGTGCTGACTTTTGTACGTGATTCGGTCCCCACTGTGCTCTTGGAATGTGAATACATGGGTAGGAGAATAGGGATTGCCCCTTCGTACTCAGGTCAACAAATAGAAGCAGTTCTGAACTTCCAGCCCACCAAAGCCCACTGTCTTTGTGATGTAGCATAAGTTGTTTCACCCCCCCTGATCCTAGGTTTAGTTGTCCACATGTGGGGATTTTAACTCATTCTCACCGAGAGGTGTGAAAATAGTTCTTGAAAACTTTCAGTATTGAAGAACAGGGTCAAAATATACATAAGGTATTCTCTTTGTTCTTCCAAATTAGAAACAAAATCCTACTCACTTGCTTCTTTTTTATACTTTATTTTTATGATTACATTTTTGTCTTGCTTTGTTTTTACTCCTTAAATTCATATGCGTACACACTAGATTTTAAACTCAGAAGTTCAGTTTCACAAACACTTTGGGTGTCACCTGAGGCAGGCATAAGCTTGTCTGACTCCAGAGTGTGCTCTTGGTGACTACACCATAGCTGTTCAGTGGTGGTAGAGGTGGGATGTAATGTCTCTGCCATATCCATGGGCTCTGCATCCAGCCGCTTGTGTGGGGCAAGATGTGTGAGGAGATGTGTGGTGTCCATTAAGGATGGGGCAGAGCCCACAGCAGCAAGGAGCTCAGTCACAGTGGGAGAACTTATAATTGACCAGAGAAGTGAGGGGCCATGATGTTGTTACTTGCAAAGCCATTGATTGGCTTCAGAGTGACCTCTTATTCAGAGGCCCAGACTCCAGATGCCTAAATGCTGTTGAGGGTTTGTTTGGCTGGCATTTCTGGCATTTTTACTATAATGACATATCCTTTTTTTAAATTTTAATGGATTATGGATTTGTTGTGCTTCTTGTTTTGAAAATATCTCTATATTGAGAAAGATATTAAAATGTATGTTAATTTTTTTATTATGGTAAAATATACATGACATAAAATTCACCATCTTAATCATTCCTAAGTCTACAGTCCAGTGTCATAAAGTACATTTGGTGTTGTGCAGCCATCACCACCATCCATCTCTACAGCTTTGTCATTATCCTAACCAGAACTCTGGACCCATCCTATATAATAAAAGCCTAATATGCAAATGGACCAAATGGTGGAACGACCGGTTGGCAGGGGTTGGGGCGGGGGAGCGGGCAGTGCCAAGGCAGGTGCCAGTGGGCAAAGGGAGGGGACAGTGATTGGGGAAGGGGCAGTGGCAATGAGCGGTGGCAGAAGGGTGATGGGGGGCAGGTTGCTCACTGGGGAGCAGGCCTAAGCCATCAGTTGGACATCCTCCCAGGGCTCCTGATCTGTGAGAG